ATAAGATATCTCATATGTTTATAAGATATCTTATATGTTTATAAGATATCTCATATGTTTATAAGATATCTTATATAATATATAAGATATCTTATATAATATATGAGATATCTTATATAATTTGGTTAAGTACTGGATCAACATTGCTCCATGAATAAATGACAACTTGGCTTGCCATACATACACTACACACATAGAGGCACGTCCGAAATGACCTTAGCTGTTAATAGGACGTTTAACAAAATTAAACCAAACCAAACACAGCATATTCCGCTCGGTCACATATTACCGACAACGAGTGAACCATATTTGTTGCCATTACCGTAAATGGGAATAGCAAATACCATTTTTCAAGAACTTTGGTAAAAGCATGGGGGCATTGCCTTCCTCATCTGGGCGAACGTTCAACATTAAGACAAAGGACACACTCACATTGGAAATAAAGCAAGACAGCATTAGACACTCAACACAATATATTTCTTTATTTTTTTTCGCTTATCATTTAGAATACGGTAGTAACACACTCTGTACATATTGAAATACCTGTATGTGCAGTCAGAGCGAAAACAAACAGTGATTCAAGGGTTATTTCGGGTTACTAAATAAGTGATCATATATAATGTTGATTTCGAAATGACCATATAAGGATGCAACACTTGCCTATGTGTTAGTTTCGCTATGTGTGTCTTCAACCAACAGTTGGCTATGTATGGAGAGTTTGTTTAACACTGTTGCGTTAAACTCTAGGATACACAATCTGTAAAGTGCTGCAGTCCTATATCAGCCCTATTGTCGTCAGGTATGTTTAATAAGAACGTTAATAAAGACGTATTTGGAAATTGAAACTATTTAGTCATGATAAATGGATGAAGTTAAATGTTCACCATGACGTGTTAAGAAATTTAAAAAAAAAACGTCCTTGCATCATACAGAAAATTAACTATGGACAAAGCGCACCAGTATTTTATACCTACACACGTACCCTTCTAAGCAGCTAATCGTATATTAACGTATACGGTTCATTGTGGGTACGGGAACAATGCGGAGATATATAACTAGTCTACTTTAGTCGTAGCTAGAGAGGTTATTTATAGTTCACGGTCAGTATTGAGCACGATCTGTTGTACATTTAATCGAAGCACAGTTGTAGACGACGGGTATTGGCAGTACGGCGGGTATTGACAGTACGGCGGGTATTGCCGATATTTGACAAAGGTAGGTGCCATTTTTGTCTGTTACGACAGCTTGTAGCTATATATACCACATTATATACAGATGTTCCAGGTCGCTGTTCACCGAGATATCCTCTAGTAAAGAGGATCCAATTCGCTCTACACCGAGACATCCCCTAGTAAAGAGGTTCCAAGACGCTGTACACCGAGACATCCCCTAGTAAAGAGGTTCCAAGTCGCTCTACATTGAAACATCCCCGAGTAAAGAGGTTCCAAGTCGCTGTACACCGAGACATCCCCTAGTAAAGAGGTTCCAAGACGCTGTACACCGAGACATCCCCTAGTAAAGAGGTTCCAAGTCGCTGGTCACCGACACATCCCTTAGTAAAGAGGTTCCAAGTCGCTGTACACCGAGACATCCCCTAGTTAAGAGGTTCCAAGTCGCTGTTCACCGAGACATCCCATGATAAAGTTTTGGACGAACTAGTCATATGGTGCAGTAAAATGTTGACTTGTTTAGCTGTGTGCATGCAAACAAATCTTGAAATAGTCGCGTTCCTTTTGATTATTTTACACAACAAGGTGGTGGCTGGCCATGATGGGCGTAGCCTTGAAGCTGGAATGTATTGCTGCACAGATTACATGCAATATCAGTTTGTTTGAACGACCTCCCCGCAGCTATAGGTTCATATGAAGACGCATGACTTTAAAGACAGCACCAACAAAAGAGAATGAAATAGAGAAAAGAAAAGATATATCCCAAGTGTTGCAAAGAGGGCAGCAGATTAATCTTGGATTCTTCTATATGCCCTCTAATAGAAGACAAAGAAGAAACCACCCCAATTGTGTAGGGTTCCACAGAAGTCGCCTCTTACAACATGCAGTGGGGTATAGCCTGTCTTTCTGTCCGTCCCTGACACTGCACTGACGTAGTCTGAAGTTCTAACGTCACAACCTGCAGTGGGGTATAGCTGATCTTTCTGTCCCTGACACTGCACTGACGTAGTCTAAAGTTCTAACGTTACAACATGCAGTGGGGTATAGATGGTCTTTCTGTCTCTGACACTGCACTGACGTAGTCTAAAGTTCTAACGTTACAACATGCTGTGGGGGATAGCTGGTCTTTCTGTCCCTGACACTGCGCTGACGGAGTCGGAAGTTCTAACGTCACAACCTGCAGTGGGATATAGCTGATCTTTCTGTCCCTGCCACTGCACTGACGTAGTCTAAAGTTCTACCGTTACAACATGCAGTGGGGTATAGCTGGTCTTTCTGTCCCTGTCACTGCACTGACGTAGTCTGAAGTTCTAACGTTATAATGGAATTTATATGTACCTTTCATATCGGTGTATATTACATACGATTCGGAACATTTTAAACATAGATTGTAAATTCTTTAGAGGTGGGTGAAATGGCCATATGGTGGAATTAAAAGTACCAACATTTTTGTCATAAAATTGCTTCTTTGTTCGTAATTCTTGTGATTATTTCCTCCCCGATAAACTGGACGTCAGTCGTCGCCTTATTTGTACAACTCTCACACCGTACAAACAAACTATACAGTAGATCATAAATTGTTTGACACTCGTTTATATTTGTAAACAACCAACTGATATCGTATGATATTTGCCAGATTGCAACATACTTTTCAGTATAGTATTGTAACTGCCATATGACATTAGACGGATTATATATGGCTCAGGATATATTAGCAATCGTTATCTAATGCAAATATATATGACGAAATTATATCTCGAAACCGGTATTATATATACCACATCGTCATTGAAAAAAGGTCAAAATTAGATATATGGTATGAACAATCGTTATGAGAGATGGCATGCATAAAATAGTGTTAGATATCAAGTTTCCATGTAAATTGGGATATATATGTAAATGAGCCTGTCGCCATATTGGGATGTGCGTACCGTATGGTACGAACATCGTATTAACACTAATTAACACTAAATAACTATATATTACACTATATTTCAGATAAAGCGCAGAACAAGTCTACAAACAATTTTGTTCTGAGTTCCGATTTACCCGACCCAACAGTATCTCCAAAAGTCGATTCCAGTAATTAATTTCTTAACCGTCAAAATATTGTTTATATCGTAGCTACATAATTGCCACTTTAAACTCTTGATGTCACATGCCATCGGGGCTGCTGCTATTCAGAGTGGCATAGTTATTAGCAAGTGTTTCTGGATCTATATGTTCCATTGCACCTATACGTATTTCCCTGATTTTCAGGAGTTTTCCTTTCCAGCAGGTTTAGACCGACTGGCCAAACTTGCTTTACCTTTGAAATAAACCTCATGTGACGTGATTGTGCTTATTATTATACCACGTTATGGAATAATAAGCGTGCGTGTATATTGTGTTGGACATAGGGAAGGGTCGTGCACCTTTGTTAAAAGTTCATTGGTGTAATTGAACACTGTCAGCATCCCATGAAGTAGAAGATGGAAATAATTCTAATACACATGGATAAAAATGCTAAAAGAGAAACGAAAATTTCAGATTTTGTTGAAAATTATTTATTATTTTAGGGAGAAGAACGTCAAGACAGAGAAATCATGTTAGTGTTGGGGCTAGTGGATATTCCCATATGGGCCCAGCTCCTCATTCTACTGGTTGGCATGCTGATAGCATACGTTGTGTAAGTAGTAGAATTATTGGATGTTGAAGTAAGTAGATGACTCAATATGGTCCTTATCTATACATTGTGTAAGTATCTTGTTTAAGTATTGTATTACCATTAAGGTATAGCGAAATCTCAATATGACCAGGACAAAAGACGATAATATTCTCACTGATGATGGAAGATATTGAATTAACTCGCTTCCTGTTGACAGTTTTTTTGAAGTAATTCTGATGTCATGAACTGGAAGATACATTATATGGGGTTACTAACATATATCAAAATTAGAAAAATAGAAAAAGTACAGTGTAATAATTGATTGTAGGTAAATATGAGTACTGTCTTGGCCCTGGTTTTTATTGTCTAATTTGCTTACCAGGTCACTAATGCCAACTTCAAAATTTGTTTTTTGAGAGCTGCATTGTATCTAAAATTTTCCATACACATGTTTCTTGTCATCAGAAAATCATTATGAAACCGCATATGTGGCTCAATTTCAGGTGTTTATTTGTAGATAAATATGAAATAATATCTGATAAATACGTTTTGTATATTTGTGAAACAATGCCAGATGTGCACTATTGTTATGTAAGTGTGGCAAAATTTCAGGTGTGCGATACTTGTAAGTACGTATATATTTAATATTATATTAAGCATGTCGGTATGTTAATTGTAGGTACATGTCTTGGGATTACAATATGTTTAAGAAGATGGGCGTGGATGGTCCAAAGCCTTCCTTTGTTGTTGGAAATATGGGGATGTTCATGTCAGAGGTTTGTACTAATCTGCTAATCTAAACGCAGTGATAACTTTGTTTAAGTAGATACAATGGAAAATAAAATAGTTTAAATTAAAAATTTTAATTACTAAAAGAATACCCTTGTTTCCAAATACATATTCTACATTAGAACGTTGTAATTATGACATCCTGTGTACTACCAGTCTATTTATAAACCACAATAAAACCCTGTTAACAGTAGGATATCACGTGTTCCCAAGTCTAGTCGACACTGGAACTTAATAAAATGGTGTATCCGCCAAAGTCTAGTCAATACTGGAACTTAATGAAATGTTGTATCCGCCAACGTCTAGTCGACACTGGAACTTAATGAAATGGTATATCCGCCAAAGTCTAGTCGACACTGGAACTTAATGAAATGATGTATCCGCCAATGTCTTGTCGACACTGGAACTTAATGAAATGGTGTATACGCCAAAGTCAAGTCGATACTGGAACTTAATGAAATTGTGTATCCGCCAAAGTCTAGTCGACACTGGAACTTAATGAAATGGTGTATCCGCCAAAGTCAAGTCGATACTGGAACTTAATGAAATTGTGTATCCGCCAAAGTCTAGTCGACACTGGACTAGTCGATACTGGAACTTGATGAAAGGGTGTATCCGCCAAAGTCTAGTCGATACCGGAACTTAATGAAATGTTGTATCCGGCAATGTCTAGTCGACACTGGAACTTAATGAAATGGTATATCCGCCAAAGTCTAGTCGACACTGGCACTTAATGAAATGGTGTATCCGCCAAAGTCTAGTCGATACTGGAACTTGATGAAATGGTGTATCCGCCAACGTCTAGTCGATACTGGAACTTTATAAAATGGTGTATCCGTCAACGTCTAGTCGACACTGGAACTTTATAAAATGTTGTATCCGCCAACGTCTAGTCGATACTGGAACTTTATAAAATGTTGTATCCGCCAAAGTCTAGTCGACACTGGAACTTAATGAAATGGTGTATCCGCCAAAATCTAGTCGATACTGGAACTTAATAAAATGGTGTATCCGCCAAAGTCTAGTCGACACTGGACCTTAATGTAATGTTGTATCCACCAAAGTCTACTTGATACTGGAACTTTATAAATGGTGTATCCGCCAAAGTCTAGTCGATACCGGAACTTAATGAAATGTTGTATCCGCCAAAGTCTAGTCGATACTGCAATTTAATGAAATGTTGTATCCACCAAAGTCTACTTGATACTGGAACTTTATGAATGGTGTATCCGCCAAAGTCTAGTCGATACTGGAACTTAATGAAATGGTGTATCCGCCAAAGTCTAGTCGACGCTGGAACTTAATGAAATGGTGTATCCGCCAATATTCATTCGAGAGTCGGCCCCTTCCCCAACCCCCTCCAATACATATGTGATGTTTTGTGTCCCCGATATATTTCTAGAATACATAATCCATCTGATATCTTGTGTCCCCAATATATTTCTAGAATACATAATCAATCTGATATCTTGTGTCCCCGATATATTTCTAGAATACATAATCAATCTGATAGCTTGTGTCCCCAATATGTTTCTAGAATACATAATCAATCTGATATCATATATCCACATCTGTTACACCCTAAACTAGAATCTGTGTAGTTCTATTATTACCCAAACATTTCTTATACTCTAGAACACTGAATCTATAACTCTACAATATGAGGCGTATTCGTAATTTCAGGGCATTGTCAAAGCTGAGCAGAACTTGTACACAAAGTATGGGAAAATATTTGGGTAAGTGCAGTCAAGTAAACATTTCTTTTGCAAATTGTTCACCTAAATACAATGCGTTTAATAGTTTGATAGCAAGTACTTGGTAATATGAAATCAATATTCTCAAACATATATGTATAATATGTCGTATTGTATTTTATGCATTATGACAAATTTAAATGTGAACATATAATAAGATAACAAATGTTTACATGACAAAATTTCCATTTATGTCAATTCGTGATAATCATGCCACTCCTGGTTTTGATTCTAGGACGTTTGAAGGAAGGCTCCCCAACCTGTTTATTGCTGACCCGAAGTTACTGAAAGAAATTCTCGTGAAGGATTTCAACAGTTTTGTCAATAGGAGGGTGTGTACAACATTATCACTCACTATATGAAGAAAGGGTAGAAAATATGACTTGAATATTACTTGGTCTAATGTTTATGGGCATACCCCTTTTCACAGGAAAATACAAATGAACCTGTTGTGAACTTCGTGTAAATTAAGAAACTCATTATACTATGCAGAAGAACTCATTAAATCTGAATAGTACATTTAGTGTTTAAGGTATGTCTTTCTGTTGTATAATATCGCTCCTTAAACAGGAACCCCACAAACCCAGCCACTTTAGAATTAAAGTCTGGTTATAAATCCTGAATGTGAAATGTTTTAATTGCTATTTTACCGATTGTATACACAGGACTTCGATCAGATGGATGGCCCACTTCGCGATTCTCTGTTATCAATACAAGATGACCATTGGCGGTTTGTCAGAAACATGATCACACCAACCTTCAGTGGAAAAAAGTTGAAAGAGGTACAGTTATACAAAACATCATGACAAGACTAATTGGCCTTTACATTCAAACTCACTGTTGATCTACCCCTACATTTGTTTTAAAATTCAAATCCTTATGTAATATTTATAAAATTTTCCTTGATGTTGAGTTCCACTCGCGCTAACCCAGGTGTTCTCGTGGATGGAATTGCTAGTAGGATTGGTACCTGTGCGGTGCAGACGTTTACCAATTTAAGGTGCAACGTACAAAACGAGAATAATGTTATGCTAAACAACTCATAAACTTCAACATACACGTAATAGAAAATGTTGATATTGCACCCAAAAGTGACAGCTATTTTCAGGCTAAAAAAAGGTACGAATATGTAACAGCAATCTATGTCTCGTTTCACTATCATATAATTGAACTACACATATTTTCCTTCAGTCATATGAAATAGTTAATAATGTAGGGTGTCTGTTTGGTTCTTATTGTTTTCACAGTGGGTCATGATTTGTTTGTGTAAGCAGTTCGGGTGGGTCCATAGGGTGACAGTTGGATGAGCCCTGTTACAATGAATACATACCTAACCGATTAGACCACACATTGGTAATATACATGTCTTATATCATTATAACGTCACGTGTGTGACAGGCCTTTCGTATCCGAGATATATATCAATGAAATATTGAGGCGTTAACATTCGGAACAGACAAATCGTATCGTACCAATCTGACAGTCAACATTATCTACCTTATTACGTGTGAAAGGTGAAATAACAGTGTGTGGTGAGACCACACTCTCTCCAATATCAGGATTAACGACAGATTTTCCAGCATTGGAAACCTTTCTTTCAATGTTCTTTCCGGACTCGATCTGGATGTAGTCATTGTGTGGCTGTTTATGTTATTAGCCGGTCCCCACACCAGACATCTATCTTTCAAAATGTCTGAGTGTGTTGTCAGATCCCGAGGAGACCCGGTCTAGTCAGCACTGTTAACACTGACCTATGGTTACGTGAACTTATCATGGGGTTTAAGTTTTAACAAGTGAATCATTGATTTATGTAGCAAATTCATTGCGTTGAAATAGTATTTCTGAATGTTAATTCGTTAGTCATATACTCTGTTGTTGTTTGTACCAGATGTGTATATTATTAAATTATATCATGGACGTGTTTCAGATGGGACCACTATTAAGACAAGCAGGAGACTTATTGATTGAAATGTTAGAAGCAAAGGCAGCCAAAAATGAGGACACAAGCTTGAAAGAGTAAGTTTACCTGAGTATGACTGTGACTGTTCTTCATATTACCTCACGTCTATTCCCAAAGCTTCAATGTTTTATTATACCGTCGACATTGCCATGGCTAATTCAATAAATAGGTTAATGGCAGTTCTCGTGTTTTATAATTTACCTCTTCAGCTAGTGCAAGAAGCTTAAGGTAATAATTCTATTTGTTTTAAAAATGACCAGAACGTATTGTGTAAAGTGAAGTCAACAAGAAAGTTAATACTGAATTTGTGTGGTGGAATTAGTAGTGTTGCTCCTCACTCATCGGAAAAGTTATTTTAAGAATCGATCACTCTCCGATAAATTCATTATACTTGACCGTAGGCAGACATATATCTTAGTGGAAACCTGTACACATTAGACGTTTATCTTAGTGGATATCTTTACAGGGTAGATATTAGTTTCAGTACATACATTTACAGGGTAGATATTAATATCAATGGGTATCTTTTCGGGGTAGATATTACTTGTAGTACATATATTTGCATGAATAAATAATTCACAGCATAAATGCGCCCTTTACAGAACGTTTGGTGCGTACACTATTGATTGCATTGCCAGAACAGCGTTTGGTTTGGAGATTAATACTCAGAGAGACCCAGATGACCCATTCATAAAACATTCGAAGGCATTCACAGAATCAACAATCATGGTAGTGCAAATTATGATTATCTGTAAGTAATACCTTTATCACATTAGTAAGATTGTTTTAAGTCTACAGTACAATAAACGATAGCTTTCTACTTTCAATTTCAGTAAGGATAACTAGAAATTATCTCTTTAAACAGTCGTATTTTTTAATTTTTGTATTTCTATAATATTTGATTTTCGATGTGTAGGAAAGATGTTACCAAATATGTCAACAACAATATTACTTTGTTCAGAACGACTCCATTATAATTATCCATTTATATTAATAAAGCTTTTCTCATTTAGTTTTCTTAATACGCAGTTTCATAATCAATGTAAAGAAAAGTGATTTATAAATTCAAAATTTCTTCTGAACGTTTAATATCCATGTTACTGCCCGGTAGGGGAGAAATGCAAATATCCGGATCTTCAAATTTTATATTATTCAACATTTAAGGATTTTGTTCCTTATTTCAGTATTTTTCCCGTTCCTGGCATGGCTGCCTCGCCTTTTCCAATCCATGGGAATCAATCTGAACAAAAATGCTACAAATTTCTTCGTCTCCGTAACTGAAACGGCTTTGAAAGAAAGACGGCAGAATCCAGGGGTATGGCAATGTCTACAAAATCTACCCATTCAGTTGTAACGACGTGTAACATTTGTAATCAACCTGAATATATAGTAAAACAAATAATCAAAAGATAGAATATTGTATATCGTGTGTGTGTTGTCTGTGTGTAAAATATCACTCAAGTCATGACTGGCTTTGACATCGTCATCTAACATGTATATTACAGAACCATGCAGATTTCTTAGAACTCATGGCACACTCTCAAGCAGCAAATGAAGAGTCTTCTAAGACGGAAGGGGTTACTGCAAGCCCAGGGTCATCCAGGAAAAGTAAGTCTACCAAATGAAAGAGAGATGGGATCACCACAGGCTTAATACCTATAATGTACTCAGCACAGTTATTATCGAACCACCTGTGAAATGCCTAGTATAGCTTTATATTACACTCAAGATGTATAAGGTAAGTATTCTTTCATAATTTATGTTGAAGATCGTAAAATTAGTATTTCTGACGCTACAACGAAGGTATTTTCACGCGTTAAATCATGTAATCACATGATATCAATTTTAAGCATTGCTACCGCCACGAGAATTTTCTTAAGATTCGTGTTTGAGAGTTGAAGGTCGGGAAATTACCTTACCGTGGACAAGCCATCCTCAACGAGAGACACATTGCAGGGTTGTAGAAAAAGAAATTGTTTACCTTTTTAGAAATGATCCTTGAAATAAATCTCTTGGAACTGCACAAGGATGTTCTTTTCAAAAGTTGAAATTTATTGTCTCACACAGACATTTGTTGAAAATTAAAAATCATGACCATCGAGGAAAAGTGATTTACTAATTTTGTCATATAACATGAAAGAAATGAGTGTCCAAATACGCTCGTGTTTATCTAAGGAGAGTGCCACAGGGAAAGGAGCTCTTCAAGAAAAGGACTTCCGAGGTTTCATTACATGATGGTTCATCGTTTCGGGATATTTGATGTGAAATTGTTGATATGAAGATATTATGAAATTTATTTTCTGATATAGGCTTTATATTTAACTCTGGTGCACTTACCTTGTTATTGCATCAAATAAATAAAAAAAACTCGAATTTTTTCTTTAGATGTAATTTTCTGAGTATCCTTCTGTTGATAATAAAGGTAACTTTTATGTGGTGTTCCAGCGCTGACAGACGCGGAGATCAGGTCTCAGGCACTTCTGTTTTTCCTTGCGGGGTATGATACAACATCTAACAGCCTGATGTTTACTTTCTACCACCTGGCAATCCACACAGACGTCTGTGATAGGGTGATGCAGGAAGTCGATGATAACTTGGGAAAGGTGACGTATACACTATTGCTTTGATACCTGTTGATCTACGTGTTTCTAAAATGCGTTTTGTCGATTATTGTCATCTTGTTATAATTGAGAATCATTCCCCAATTTATCTAAGCGGTGATTTAAGATCTTTCTGTGCTGATCTTTAAATTTCAGTTCCAGTTATTATTACTGTATACTGTGTAAGGGAGCACATATCATTAACTTTAACATAAAGCACATGTACAATGCAAAAGAGAGTTCATATTCTTATGTGAAATTAAAGGAGTCTTTGTTACATGTTCTAGGAAAACCCCGATTATGATAACATCAAAAAACTTACTTATATGGAAATGGTGATCGAGGAAACTATGAGAATCTTTCCTGCAGCATCCAGGTGAGAGCATAAAGTGTTGCACTACATGCAATTATGAAGTTATATGATCATTTTTAAAAAGACAAAACGAAATGTAATATAATATTAGTGTTACCGACTGAAGAATGTGTTGTGCCTCTTTGTGTGTTTCATAATTACGTGCTGTGTGAGAGATACCTGTGCGTCTGTCTTCAAAAAGGTGCAAAGTTCACAAACATACTGATAATGAGTTTAGGGATATGCCAGTAACAAACATGAATTGAAAACCACAGTCGTATAATGATTATATCTTTCATGTGAAGGTTCATAAAACAATACTGCTCATCAGTGGTAAAATACTCTCTCTAGATATGCTTAACTATTTTTATAAGTTTTATCCGTCGATCTGTGAAGATGTTTTCGCTGTCACGTACGTAGCCGAAGCCTTAGCTGGAGCAGACTTATGCATATCTACATAATAGGTAGCATCACGTGATCAGATTGGTCAGTACATTATCATTGGATTTCAATGAAACATGGCTAACAAATCTACAACAGATAGACGTAGACTTAGTTCGATGCTTTTCAAAATTTGTCCATAAATCGAATTACCTTACTACAATTTAATTGGTCAATACATTAATCAGGAAAAGATCTTCATATGTGATTCGATTTATCGAAACCCTGCCTACTAATAAACATGGGGAGTGGGCGGCCTTTAGAGATGAGGAGCAGAATGTATTCTCTTTTTAAAACAGATGCATCATTCACACAACTTTTTGTCCATATACATGTGGCTTTTATACCATATGTTTTTTTTTACATTTTTTCTGCAGTAAAACTTGATTTATTTCTTTTAACATAACGAAAATGACAATTAAGTGAACAGTCATAATACTTCATAAATATACAATGGATATAAGATTATAGAAAATAACTGTCAATTTGTTCGTGTTGACTTCAGTACGGCTGACATATCAAACTATGCTACGTATTCCTCTTGTTTTGTTTTAGAATTGACCGAATAGCCAGTCGAGATGTCACTATTGGAAATGTCGAAATCCCTAAAGGCATGATTGTGAACATCCCAGTAGGCGCCATACAGATGGACCCCGAATACTGGCCTGACCCAGACAAGTTTGACCCTGAAAGGTAGAGACATTTCACCTCAACAGTAGTTATTTATAATTAAAACGAATACGTGGTTTAGTTCATCTACCATCAATATGTTACCTAATGCAACAATGCATTATTAAAACATTTAAGTTAGCTCATTAAATCCTATTTCAGGTTTACTCCTGAGGCCAAGGCTAATAGGGACCCCTACACTTATCTTCCATTCGGAGCAGGCCCCCGAAACTGTATCGGTGTTCGACTTGCTATGATGGAACAAAAGATGTGCATGGCTCAGGTCCTACAACACTTTAGGCCAGTCCGGAGTGAAAGGACAGATGTAAGTGATATCAATATCAACATGGTGTACAAAGAGGATATCAAGGGAGGGAAAAGTGGGAAATAGTAAAAAAAACCAACAACAAAACATTCCTGCCTCAACACATTCCTAAGCTTATTAGGCAAAAGATGCATTTCATAACTTTTATGCGGTAGAACGGATATTGGCAGGATATAAACTTCGAAAATGTTGAAATCAGGTCTATGTGCCTTCGTGAATTGTTTTATTATTTTCCCTGTGTATTCACCTCACTCTAGTCCTATAGATGTCCCACCGTATCTCACGCACATATAGTAAGTATGTGTCGTCACACTCAACAGACGTGATCTAAGAGAGGGCCTTGTTAGTTTCTTGATTTGTATAAGACAGGACAATGTAAGATCGCAGGCAAAATCATTTAGGCTCTTTGTCTCTATTATATTTGATATCGGACAAAATTAGACGTTTTTGTTCCCAATAGCCCCACATTAATTACATTTACTCGTAAACCATAGTTTTGTATTATATAGTTTACAATGTGATTATAATTTTCAGTGCCCACCAAAGATAAGTAAGCTTGGAAACACGGTGACTGATGGAGGTCTGTGGATCAAGTTTGAGAAGAGGAGCTAAGCTAATACTGTCTGAACTCTGATATAGCCCCCAGTCTGTGCTTGTATGTAAATGAGAAGCAAACAACGACGATAAAAGATGTTGTATACCTTTACTTTGTTGTATTAATGTTTTTTACTTGTTTGTCATCAGAAAATGTGCATTGCAAAACATATGAGCACATTAACTTCGGACTTGTTCTCCGGTAGGGCCATAGTTTTGCTTAATCGTTTCAGTAAAGAAAAACATGTCATGTGGGTAATGTATGGAATATGATAAAAAAAAGTAAGACAATGTTAGCTGCAGAAATTAAAGAAACAGTGTTCCGAGTGTAAAATTGCAACGGAGCAAGGTCTGGTCAGTATTTCTGAAACCGTTCTCCTGCTGAAGTTTATTCCGGTGATTAAGGTCCTTCATAAAAAAATGCATTTTGGCAATGTACATTTGACTTTTTGACCACGTCATATGATTCAAGAAAGTTAATTTTGAACACATAATCTACGCCTGAACCTGAGAGCGGTTTCATGAAAACGGGCCCAGGATTCGAACCCAGGGTTTTAGACAAGTTGTATTGTCGGTATAACCAACGAACCTACCTGGTCAAAGGCAGCACCCTAGCTCAGTCGCGCTACAAGTATATACACAACGAAAATAATGGGAGGTCACTGTATTGACGAAATACTGTGGTGGCACTCTATGGTGTGTTGCTAGCAGTGGAACATGGACCCTTAATACCTTTTGGTCAACGTTGTAGTTCAGGACAGTCTGAAGTGTTGTCAAGTAATTACTCTTTTGTGGCGGAAGGATCCGGGTCCAAGTTTTTGTTAATTCAACGGAACTGAACTGACGATAAGGATTTTATTTAATGTGAGTAAAGTCATGTTTCCGTAGCTAGTATGGGGTGTGTTCGACATGCACTTTCCAAATGTGTCATCTTACCGGGTTAATGTTACAATCAACAAAATCTGTTATACTGCAAAACATCACTATGGTTCATATTGCATTTTACAAAACACTTGTTAATAGCGCAATGTCAACCTGGTTAAGTGAATTGTGTGGATTCTAATAATTCATTAATACATATATGTACCAGTGTACTCATCACTTTACGGTTTAGGCACAGAACACTACAAATTGATGTATGTTGTCTATCCTTCATCAGTAACAGTATGTTTTAGTTTTGTATTTGCACGAAGTGTATGTATGGTCAAATTCCGCTCATCACGTTGGTGTTTACATCTCGTTCTATATATCTTCTGTGTTTGATTGATAATGGTTTCTCTAACAATCAATAGACGAACATATCTGTGATTTTCTGTTTTGAATAAATTGACATTTCACTTGCATACCATGCTCACGTTCTCTCACATGCCTTACTTGCTTATGTTCTTTAGCATACCATGTGCAGGCACCCTTATATACATCACTTAAGGGCTATATACGTATTTTCTGCCGCGCATCCCACTTGTTTGCTCTCGCTCGTCAGCCACGGTGGCCAAGTGGTTTTAAAAGGCGTCTCCACTAGCCCTCCATCACTGGGTAGTGGGTTCGAGATCTACGTGAGGCAAAAACCTAGCACGTCTTTAAACGACCATAGCTGTTAATAGAACGTAAAACACAAACAAACCAAACCATCTCGCACATATATATGTAATCTACAAATCGTTTGTTCGCTCAGGAAGGAACTTAATGTCTTTAAGCAGTAACACGATTTCTACATACGTTGTATTACTTTAAGACGGTAAAGACGCACAACGTTCGAATTTTACGCTTTTATACTCGTGTTATCTGTCGTGTTCGCCCAATTGCAGGTGTTGTATTTTTATTTATCTTAACTATTAACTTGCTACGACGAGAAACTAAGGTGAAGACCAAGGGAAACATTTTGAAAATTAGATAAATATATAACTGCTTTACATAGCTTCACAGCCTTAACAATGTAAAAACACTAAAACACTCAACTGACATAGCTCATAACACGAGTACGTATACATACACATGTAATATAATCATAACAGGCGTTTTAATTCCCAAAACAAGGTCTTTAATCCACGATTAATAGAGTTGCAACACTATAACTATGTATGAAATGATAACTTTAAGGCTCAACAAACCCCTTAAATTATTGTACAGAACATGTATGTTCATAGTCGAAGGATCGATCGTATTTAAAATCTCCAATTAAACATCGGTGTTTAGATGTGTTGGATACATTAACTTTGGCCATCTTGATGAAACCGAGATGTGGAACATGTGGTATGATTGTTCTTTTTTCTATCTTTTTGTAAATCAACACAGAGATATAGCATCGTCAGGACGAACAGGATATGCCACGGAACGTCAAAAACGAAATTATTGCTTGGGATATTGCGTCATATTATGACGTAATGAAACACACAAGATGACGTCACGAAATCGTGTTTGGTCAGATTCAAAACGGAACAAGAACCTGAATCACACATGTAAAGAAAAAAACAGAGCAGGGATACCCGCATCTAAACATATCAGTAAAATCCGAGTTCAAAATGTAAAACAAACAAACAAACGGGGGAAAAAAAGAAAAACAAAAAGATGTATCTATATATCCGACGTACGGATGCGTATATGTGGCAGTAATGCTGGCCCCAAAAGGGTTAAATATTCTTGTTGTCGCTATTTCTCAGAAAGTACCGGATGGATCTATCTCATATTTCACATGAAGGTTTCCATGATCCCTAGCTAGCAACGCAATTCGAATTCTTGAACAGATGGAAAATCAAAGAAGACCGAGAGAAGCCCATTTATAATTTTGAGAGTTAAAGTTCAGTGGCGTAACATGCATGCATGCTTATATATATATGCTTAATTAAACATACACTAAACAATTTTTCAATAATATGTCTTTATTAAAAAAATGTTTTATGATTAATATGAGCCGTCCGTATCAATCATGAAAAGTAAACAATTAAAAAAAATCTTCTTGAAAGTTTTAGTCCGGCTGAACATATTATACCGTGTTGTCCTCAGATAATCGTTAAGGGCGTTTTAGTCGTATTATTAGCAAGTAAAAATGTTACTTGTTAATAATCAGACTAAAAGGTGTTCCCAGAACACGGGTGATTGCTTCAAGGGTCTGGTAGAATTGTTTTCCAACAATGTTAGCATACACTCCGAAAAATTGATTTGGTACGCCACCTAAGTTTGTTAGCGCTATTTCTTAGAAAGCACTGGAAAGATCTTCATCTTTCACATGAAGGTTCCCCATGGTCCATAGTTACGCATTTCTTAGGGCTGATGAGAAAACCGTCCTGAACCATTACCCCTTGTGTTAGCATATTCGATATTTGTTATGATGAGAGTTTGAAATTACCGAGTGTACAGTATTAGAAGCAGGTCAATGAGTCCTACTTTTTGACCCTATCATTCGAAAAGGTTAGTCAAGACAAAATATTTCGTGATATCTGAATGTTTTGGAATATCTAACCTGATATAGGAATTCATCTAGGAATAACGTTGAGCGTCTCAGATCATCGTGACCTTTGATCTTATCTTTCATTTTTGGCGCAGTCTAAGGCGTGTCTGGAACAAGAGGCCCTCTGGGCCTGTATCGCTCACCTGGGTATCTAAGCAATCATTGCAAAATATTCTCCAAATGAGATCCAAGGGATACGGCCAGACCCCAAGGCCAATCCTTGTAGCATATCTGTATTAGATTTTCCATGCCCAGCAATTTTACGTATGGTTATTGGGTGGGGATCTTAACTGTTTCCAAAATGTGACCAGCTAGTGAGAGTGTTGTTTCATCCTTTATATACTGAGGGTTTGCGCATATTTTTATAATATTTCTAAAAAAAGTCGTTTATCATTGTTTTATTTACATTTATACATTTGTACAAACGTAAGAGTAATAATAGGCTCTGATCTATCCTGTAATGAACACATCTCAGATAAAAAAACAAAAAACAAAAAAAAAAAACGAAAAAATAAAGTCTATGTTCACACTCCTCAGCAGAGCATATCAGTTTCTGGACATCAAGTCATTAATTTCGGTATACAAATGCCTTGTAAGATAGCAGCTGGACTATACTAGTCGTGTGCGGGCACCACACCTCCAAAATATATCGACACGATGAAGTAGAGGGATTTCCAAGAAGAGCAACTATATAAATTAAGTGCTTCCCGGGAATGAGGGACCCGACCTACAGTGAGAAGTTGGAGAAAGTAAAGCTACCAACACTGGCCCTCAGAAGAATTAGGGGCGATATGATTTAACTTACAAAATAATAAGTGAAATATATGATAAAGAATGTTTTAAAGCTGTCATATGCTGTGAAAAGAAGCAACTGATCGTCACACAAAATATGACAACTTGCAATGAACTACCAGAACATGTCGTATCAGCACTTATTGTTAATTCTTTTGAAAATATCTGCTAGACATCACTGGAAAAATCAATAACTTTTCTTTAATTAGAAATCGACAATCAAATCATAGACATCAATGTGCATGTATACCGGGTAGAAGTATTTGACCGATGCATTTTATTTGTTTATTTGAGGGTCTGGTATAGAAGACTTTAATAGTCCTGAACCAGAAATAAACTGAACTGATTAAATTTTGAAAGATTTTCATATTGCAGTGGTTTACATGACAGACGAACATGGATAAAACCTGTGTAACGTCTCTGTTTACATTACTCGAAAACGAAAAGCACACAATGACCCAAATCTAACACTCGATGGCACTAGAATTCCTGTTGTTGAACAAACAAAATTTCTCGGCCTCATTTTTGATTCGAAACTCTCTTTCATACCACATATAAAGTATCTGAAGGATAAGTGTTCCAAGGCGTTACACATTATGCGAGTCCTTTCTCATACTGATTGGGGAGCGGACCGTGAAATGCTTTTGCGCCTATACAGATCAATTATTCGAACAAAACTGGATTATGGTTCTATGGTATACGGGTCGGCGCGCAGTTCGTACCTGCAAATGCTAGACCCAATCCATAACCAAGGGCTACGTCTAGCCCTTGGAGCTTTTCGAACAACACCTGTAAAAATCCTGTTGGTAGTTACTATATACTTCCGGTTTGGGTGGAGAGAAGAAAAGACTGAAAATTTGAAAGAAGCTTCAGTTTCTATAATTTTTAATGTCACGAATTTACATAACCACAGAAAAACAAAATATCAATTAAAGAGATATTTTATAGAATGTGTAGCAAAGCTAAACAGCATCGTAAAAATAGGACCGCGGTAACTCTATACTAGCTACTTCCGTGACGAAGGATTTTGGAAGCATAGTATTTCGACGTTACCATGACTTCAATTGTTCGTACACATGTTACCGGAAAAGAGCTTCGCTTCTTGCGCCTTCCAATGAGAATCAAGCGACCTCTTCAGTGACCCTGCTTCGTACATACTCGGGTATTTCCGTCCTAGTGGGGGATGACATCCGTGTGTTACGGTGTGTGTACAGACGGAAAATTGTATGTTAAGAAAGGTGTTAGTATCACATTATTTATTGCTTTCCCAAATTTACAATATAATCACATTATTACGCACCCTTCGACGCTATGTGTTTGTGACATTACTTTTTGTTTCGTTCAACCGCAGACGATAAGAGTCTGGTTGAGCGAGACTACATTAATGTAAGCTTTTTGATGACCATGCTAACTCATTTTCTCGATTCGGAAGAAAAGTAAAGAAATCGTGGAAATAAACTCGCTCAGTGTTCTGAATATGGTCAATATTTTTTTGAATATGGTCAGTATATTTTGAAAAAATCGTAGTTTCGAATACATAATTTCTGTGCTACGTTACATGTCGCTCTATTATTCGATTAGGCATATTTACGGGCTCCATGAAACCGGAAGAGGTCACCGAAAGTACGAAAAAGTTTCTAGGCTGTAGCTGTACGATTCAGTGATGGAATCGGTTTGGTTGGATCAGATCTATTTACACGCACATGTTACCGGTAAAGAGCTTCGCACGGGTGCCTTCGGCACCCGTGAGCTTAGCTCTTATTAAGCATTATTGATTGCTGAATATCGTTACATGGACAATTTAAAGGTAAGAATAATTACCAAAACTAGAAATTTATTTTTGTAAACAAAACCATATGTCTCCCCTTCTTCGCCAATATGCATATTTGGGAGAATAGAAAGATACATAAATATGGTAAGTTTGGTCAACGTAGGTAAAATAACATGGAACTTATGCTCGGGGCAAACTTCGGTATTAAAGGTAAACTAAGGGCCACAACTCTGTATATAGTGGGGTACTATACCTAATTTCAGTGCACAGCACATCTTCTGTGGATTATGCAGGTATACCTCATTTTTTATCAAGATACATCTTAAACGGTTTAAAATTTACGGGCCGGACTATAATTTACTGAAAAGGTTGCCCTTATTTGACCTTTGACCTTGAGGTGAAGGTCACAGTCACCTAATTCCAACGCACTGCACACCTTCTGTGGGTGATGCAGGCATACCTCAAGTTTCATCAAGATATTTATAACGGTTTAAAACGTATGGCCCGGACAAGTTGCGATTAGAAGAACCAGAAGAAGAAGAACCAGTGCTAATACAATATGTCTCCCTTCATTCAATGGGGAGACATAACAAGACTTTCCTGATTTACCCTATTTATTTGGATATCATTTTCAAAAGTCTATTTTATCAAAACTAATGCTAGTTTGGAGAAGAAATTTAATCAGAACCCTCGTTGACTCTAAAAAATTTCAACTACGCATATTTTCTGCCGATATTGATCGTTTATCCCCAAATATTCGCCAAATTACCGGAAATGGCCCTTTCAGGGTACAGTAACGCCGATACAAGGGCCTATACACAACTCTGATGGTATTTCGCGTCCTTTTTTATAGAACAACGCGCCCGAAATATCAAATTGTGATAGAAATGAAAAGTGGATAATATCTATTTATGAAAAAATATCAAGGATTTTTGGAACTGATAGTATGGTATAAAGAACATTGTTATGTATCTAAAAAGTGTCCCGATTTGGGTACAGTGACGTTCACCATTACTGACTCCCAATAAATCCAAATCCTAACGATCCAGTTTACACTACAATTGTATGTCTCAAAAGCATCCTAGCGCATCAAGTTGCGCTATATATGTATTTTCAATGCAGAGCTAATTTTGCACAAATATATAATTGATCATAAGTCATTTTTCCGAAAAAGATGAACATCGAATACCAAATTGTGTCGTTTAAACAGGCCATATTTACCCGGTGGTAGGTAAATCTTGTACGCCGCTCCAGCTCCCAGACGAAAACCCCGTACCAGGAATATAAAGATACTTCAATATCTCGTTAATGCGATCGTTTATATGTTTTATGAAATTATACAATAATTTCAAACATTATTTTCTAAATAAAAAACGGGGTTGACTGTGCTATTGCTAACTTGGTCGATTTTTGTTTCAATGGGTTTAACTGGAATGAAGAGTTTGACACCACTTGCAGGAGACAACAAATTGTGGAATGTAGTTCTAATGGAATCTTTACTAAATTTCCTAGGAAAAAAATGAGTAGGCATAGGCAAAATATGACTTCTTTATCATTTGATATTTTTATGGTTTCATGATAGATGTGTAAGTGATCTGTCAGATTTACATTTTTCTAGGAATAGTTTTATTTGGAAGAGTGGTAATTAGTGTTCATAAAAAAAGCCATACAAGTCAAAAGTATTTTTGGTGTTTTTTAATGTATTTGTATCCTATTAAAAGTTAAAATGTGTAGTGAGTTAACTTAAAATTCCTTTTGAAAAAAAGAACACAATTATATCAATCATAAAACCATTTCTTTAATGTAATTATAAAAATAGGCATTTTTTCTAATGATAACCAATCATAATGATTGATGATCATGAATTCTTATTTTGTGAGCTATTATTAATCTTATATTCCGTCTTTGCGTATTGCAGAGTTATCTTCTCTTGAGAGCAGGGATTGATTGTTACGTCACTTGTTTGTGAGAGTAACGTCATCAATTTTTGAGAAAAAGACGTAATTTTCTCACACAAACCAATGACGTAACAATCAACACCTGCTCCCAAGAGAAGATAACTCTGCAATACGCAAAGACGGAATATATATAGTTTAAAAAAGGGCTCTTATGTAGATCTGCGTCCTCGTCGTAGAGCCTGGTATCTACTTGATAACGACATAGCTTGACAAGAGTGATGTCCCCTTAGCACGGGTACGGGCGTAAACAATCCTCGCCCGCGATCACAACAAAGTCAGAATTTCATGTGAAATAGGTCGTTTATTTCAACGAAACTTACATGATTATAAGCAGTAAGGTATTTTGTTTTATATATCTAAAAACAACATGTTAATTTTCACTCAATTTCTAATTATATATGAAAAACCGTCATTTTCACGGTTGACAGCGGCGTACAAGTTTTACCCCCTTGAAATACACATTATCGTCGATTTCTAAATTATTAGATAATAAATAAACATTTTTGTAAATGTCACATTTAGAAAATAATGTAAGAAAATATTGTAAAATTTTATAAAAAATATAAACGATCGCGTTAATGAGATATTAAAATATCTCTATATTCCTGGTACGGGGTTTTAGTCCGGGAGCGGCGGCGTACATGATTTACCTACCACCTATTTATCCGCCATTTACCCTAGCCCTTATCAGAAATAGTGTTTTGTTTACTTCCGGTATATTAACATACTAACATCATGCCCGGGCCATCGAAATTTCAGAAGAAAAACTATAAAAGACTAAGACAACACCAAATGATAGGATGGAAGTATGCTGCTTTTGTCGGAGGCATTGTTGGAGCAATCGGTCTTGCTTTGTATCCAATTGCAATCCAACCTATGATTGATCCTACCAAGTGGCGTAAGTTATACAACTGACCTGTACAAATGAACTTTAACTAGCCAAGGACGTTTCATGTTAAAGTGAAAATGTTATGGCGCGTCGTGCTTACTTCTTAATATAAAATATGAATACAACGTGCCGTATAATAAATGTAAACACATTACATGTAACTTGTGTTGGTTTGTACACAGGCACAACGGCGCATATGGTACTAATCCTGCATTCGGGTAACAATTACCCATTTCAGTAATAATTTTATTACTGAAATGGGTAATTTAGTGAAATTAAAACAAGTACAATTGTGTACAAAAATATGTAAATTCAGTTGTCTAAATTTTTGTGAAAATGACAAATTGTATCACCTCCATAGTGTGTTGTAGAGTAGCTATAAATAGCACACATAAAAAATCATGATGACCTGTCACATTTGCACTGGATAGTCCCATTGACTACACACTGAAGTCAATCGAGAACAAAGTCAGTGATATGGTTTGTCCTTTTCACAAAAAGTTAGACATCAGAATTGATAAATATTTGTTGTTGTGTTATTTATTTGATTTAGTTGACAGAATGACGCCCTTTTTTGCTCAAAGTGTTTAAAAGAACTTTTTGTGTTTTATTTCACTTTATTCCCCATTTCAGAGATAAAATTGTTACTCAAATGGGTAACTGTTACCCAAATGCAGGATAAGTACCCAACACTGCCAGATTGGGTTTCGAACCTGTGACCCTTCAGTACAATTTGGAGATGGACAGTCTACCAATTGAGCTATATACAGGGTATAGCCAGCCTCAACCCAGTCTAATTCTGCTATATATTCCAAGTGATTCCAGGGTTTCAGGAGTGCTCATTGAATTGTTTTCACTTCTCCTAGATCTAGTCCTGTATTGATTAACAGATATATATATAGTAGCAATACAGTATAACAACAAATTTTACTCAGAACAAGTTGATGGTCTAATATATGGTCCTGGGGAGCGTTCCACATACAGGGTGTAATTTACACTTGGGTGTATCTATTTATGTATGTTAGTCCCCGTTTCTAGTTTAACTGGCTTGAATGATGGTATTTGCAAGGTGTATAAGCTTTCTCTCCAGAAATCTGATGAATGTCGAAACTAGGCAGTACAACGTTGTATCTTTCTCTGGTATGGTTTCCATATTGTTGAGCTACAATTAATGTATACTACAATACATATATTACTAGCAACTTGAAAGCTGTCAATTTTAGTGATGCTTGATACTTTTGAAGATTTCATCATAACAACTTAAGTGTTAAGTAACAGTTCGCAGACTTTGTTCCGTGTGAACAGCCTCTTACAGTTACACTATAAGTATGGATTCACTTCTACATCCTCGGTGTATGCTGGCTGTCAAGTTGATAATTGTTGGTGCTAGGTGATGTTCAGTTAGGTAGATGCGACACTCAGCCACATTGAATAACATACTTGTCAGCCAATATTTTAAAACGACTTCTAATAAAGATCCTTTTTGAATCCTTGGTGGTTTTGTAGGCTTTGAATCAAGTGATATAACAAGATATTGTCGACACAAAGCCATGTGGTAGATGTTACACAGGTGAGCAGCCAAGTCATAAATATAGTAGAGAAAAAGTTTTGTTCCAAGTACTGTCCTTTCAGAGACGTAATATACCCCAGATAAAGCTTATAGACAGCTAGACAGCATATCTGGGTCTGTAATGTGCACAGGTTATTGTCTACGGTTATATGACGTATATATCTACAAAAGAACTTTATTGCCTACAAAAGAACTTTATTGCCTTTTTACAACTGTAAACAAATTAATTCATCTTTCATGTGAGGGGGATGTTCCTAACCTATCCACCAGCTACTGATCACAGGCAACTACTGTAAAAAAATGTTTTTTGTTGTTGTTTAAACATGTGTTACGGGGACTGGACTGGACATGGGTTGATCATCGGTGACCAGGTAGCTCAATTGGTATAGCGTCCATCTAGAACCCTGGTCTGGTTATGCATTTTCCCAATCCTGTTACACTTGGTGCCTTTAACCAACCAAAGCTTAAAGTACTGAGTGATTGCTTGGCAACTTGATACCCTTACCAGGGTTGTAAATATTTGTGTCTTTTGGGGTGAAGACTTGGAAAAAGAAGGGAGGAATGTAGCCAAACTGGGCTGGGTCGATCGTTGATCAACAGGTAGCTCAATTGATAGAAAGTCTGTCTAGAGTTGTGAGGGTCCCAGGTTTGAACCTTGGTCTTGCCATGCATTTTTCCATAGATCTCCTGTTACATTTGTGCTTAGATGTGGTGAAGATTATAAAGGTATTTGTTTCAAAAAAAGGGAGGGGTACTAAATACAGATTATTATGAAAATCAAGATTTGCAAGGTTCAATATTTCAAAAAAAGTAGTTTTTAGAGAGATGTTAAAAAAATTCTTTATGATGATCTATGCTTCAAACAGTGCTCATTGAGTATTTTGGAAATTATAATGTTGGAAATAACCTTACCCAGAAATGGCGTTTTGAGAATTTCCATACATAAAAATGCAGTGAAAAGCTATGTAATAATTAGCATCTCTTCCATCTTTTCAAGGCAGATTCCTATGATTAAGATCCATGCAAGGCCATCAATTTGACTCTGCCAGAAGGCAAAAATGTCTCACTTTACAGTGACAAACTATGCTTTAAAAAGCCTCAGGTGTAATATTTATTTATTTCTTTTACAGAAGAAATTCAGAAAGAAGCAAGAGCAGGATATGATGTGGAAAAGATACAACCTGGAGGTTAGTATTGGATATGATGATATATAGCCTGGAGGTTAGTATTGGATATGATATAGCCTGGAGGTAAGTATTGAATATGATGATGATATATAGTTGGGAGGTTAGTATTGAATATGAAGATATATAGCCTGGAGGTTAGTATTTGATATGATGACATATAGCCTGGAGGTAAGTATTGAATATGATGATATATAGTCTGGAGGTTAGTATTGAATATGATGATATATAGTCTGGAGGTTAGTATTGAATATGATGATATATAGTCTGGAGGTTAGTATTGAATATGATGATATATAGCCTGGAAGTTAGTATTGAATATGATGATATATAGCCTGTAGGTTAGTATTGAATATGATGATATATAGTCTAGAGGTTAGTATTGAATATGATGATATATAGTCTGGAGGTTAGTATTGAATATGATATAGCCTGGATGTTAGTATTGAATATGATGATATATAGCCTGGAGGTTAGTTAAGAATGATGAAATATAGTCTTGAGGTTAGTATTGAATATGATGATATATAGTCTGAAGGTTAGTCAAGTGTGATGGTATATAGTATGGGGGTTAGTTTAGCATGATGACATATAGGCTGGAGGGTAGTTAATTATGATGATTTATAGCCTGGAGGTTAGTTAAGCATGATTATATTAAGTTTGAAGGTTAGCAGTGAATATGATGATATATAGTCAGGAGGTTAGTTAAGTATGATGATAAATAGTCTGGAGGTTAGTTAAGAATGATGATATATAGTCTGGAGGTTAGTTTAGTATAATGGTATATAGTCTGAAGGTTAGTTTAGAATGATGATATATAGTCTGGAGGTTCGTTTACTATGATGATATATAGTCTGGAGGTTAGTTTAGTATGATGGTATATAGTCTGGATGTTAGTTTAGTATGATGATATATAGTCTGGAGGTTAGTTAAGTATGATGATAAATAGTCAGGAGGTTAGTTAAGTATGATGATATATAGTCTGGAGGTTAGTTTAGTATAATGATATCTAGTCTGGAGGTTAGTTAAGTATGATGATAAATAGTCAGGAAGTTAGTTAAGAATGATGATATATAGTCTGGAGGTTAGTTTACTATGATGATATATAGTCTGGAGGTTAGTTTAGTATGATGGTATATAGTCTGGATGTTAGTTTAGTATGATGATATATAGTCTGGAGGTTAGTTAAGTATGATGATAAATAGTCAGGAGGTTAGTTAAGTATGATGATATATAGTCTGGAGGTTAGTTTAGTATAATGATATCTAGTCTGGAGGTTAGTTAAGTATGATGATAAATAGTCAGGAAGTTAGTTAAGAATGATGATATATAGTCTGGAGGTTAGTTTACTATGATGATATATAGTCTGGAGGTTAGTTTAGTATGATGGTATATAGTCTGGATGTTAGTTTAGTATGATGATATATAGTCTGGAGGTTAGTTTAGTATGATGATATATAGTCTGGAGGTTAGTTTACTATGATGGTATATAGTCTGAAGATAAGTTTAATTTGATGATATATAGTCTGGAGGTTAGTTTAGAATGGGATATATAGTCAGGAGGTTAGTTAAGAATGATAATATATAGTCTGTAGGTTAGTTTACTATGCTGATATATAGTCTGGAGGATAGTTTAGTATGATGGTATATAGTCTGGATGTTAGTTTAGTATGATGATATATAGTCTGGAGGTTAGTTTAGTATGATGATATATAGTCTGAAGATAAGTTTAATATGATGATGTATAGTCTGGAGGTTAGTATTGAATATGATGATATATAGTCTGGAGGTTAGTATTGAATATGATGATAAATAGTCTGCTGGTTAGTATTGAATATGATGATATATAGTCTGGAGGTTAGTATTGAATATGATGATATATAGCCTGGAGGTTAGTATTGAATATGATGATATATAGTCTGGAGGTTAGTATTGAATATGATGATATATAG